CTCAACCATAAAAGACTCTTAACTACAGAGAACAAACTGAGGGTTGCTGGAAGGAGGAGCGTGAGAAGATTGGGTAATTGGATGATGGGCATTAAGAAAGGTACTTGATGTAATAAGCACTGGGTGTTCTATGCAACTGATGAATCACTGAATTCTACCCCTGAAACTAATAATACATACTATACGTTAACTAACTTGAATTTAAATAAAATCTAAAAAAACCCCAAACCAAAACCCAAACCAAGAAACTTCCAAAGATGCATTATCAATTTTAAAATATAAAAAATATAATTCAATATACATGTAATTTTACATCATACTAGATGCTTTAATCTCTCTTCAATGAATCAGAAGTGTCCTGGATCTTACAGAACTCCAATGAGATATGAATTATTCAGTAATTAATAAATTATTTTTAATGTGGAATATGGAGTTTGTTACATTTTAAAAATTAAAAGACACTATATAATCATTTAATATGCAACCAATATTACTCATACAAAACAAAATAATCAAACAATAATGCTACATGACATTAATGTATATATATCAAATCTTTCTCCTAAGTGAAAATATTTTTACATAGCCAAAAATAGCATTCTAGAGTTAGCTGGGATGTTCTACAGACAAGGAAAAGAAAAACTCTTAGGGCCCTATCCCAAGAACTAAAAGAAAACAAAATACATAGGGTCTCTCAAAAGTCCAATGTTTTGGATACTGCTATAAGAAATTTGATTATAATACTTAGTGTGTGGCTAAAACAGGTATCCTTTTATAAGATAATGAACAGCAAAATATAGATCTGCTTCTCAAAACATTGTAACATCCAAAACTGTTCAAGTTTAATCAAACTTCTTTCCAAAAATGGAGAATTTTAATGGGAGGCAGGTATGAAAACCAAATAATTTTGGAACATAACGCATTCCTGAGGTAAGCTAGGGAGCCACCGGCGATATGCCACATTATGTGGCACAAAAAGACTGAAACCTGTAGTGTCCCAGAGTCTGAGGAAAGAAAAAGAAAATGGGGGGGAGAAATAGAGGTGGACAGTCAAAAAATGACAAAAATATTTTGGCTATCCTCTCCCTTCCTCTGGACTCAAATATTAGAAAAGTAAGCACAAACAGGGTTCCCTCTACTCCTCCCATTTGCTCATAGAGCAAGCGGGCATTATGATATTAATAACAAGCAAGCATGAGCCACATACTATTAAGTCTGGAAGTGTTTTATGGCCTGCCTACATTTATCTTAGTTAGCAAGAACAGACAATAAGAACAGAGTAAATGTGTCTCAAGCTTAAAGAAATTGTAGGCTATTTCTTAAAATCTGAGACAAAGCTAAAATTAAACTTATTAAAACTTATTAAAATATAAATTAACTAAAAAAAAATCAATGTTACCTGTGTAAGGCAAAAAACTTACGTACCTAACTCTGTCTAGCCAGCTCTCTGAAGCAAAAGTAAATGTGAGGCTTTCAAAGATAAATGCTATAAAATCTCAAAATCCTAAGGTAGCAATGACCTTGTCTTCCTACATAAAAGAGGACATATTAGGTACCCCTGATGAATCATTATCAAAATCAATTCTGATGATACAATGATCTTTTACTAAATATTGTTTCCATAATCTTTGAGAAATTCTTGGTTTTCATGATGAATCTTATCACAATTGAATAAGAATGTAACTATCTATATTGTCCTTTTAACAACAGGACTGACAGACTTCTACAATAAAAAGCTACAACTCTCCCAAGTCTAAATATAAAACCTGGGAAATAAGCATTTGCTACTAGAAATAAGACAGCAACATGCTACAGGTCATATGTAATCACTACTAGTATGAAGAGGAAAAGTCTTCAAGAAAAATTTTAGTCAAGAAGTACAAAGGCTAGAGTGTACCAAATAGCCTCAGTGGCACTGAATTAAACATTTATAAAATAAATTTTAGTGAAAAAATTCTAGCTAATGATATAGAGCAGAATAGACTTCTTTCCATTTACCTAAATTTGAGCTGCATAAAGGTAATTTTCCTCCATATAACTACTTATGTACAGCTGGATGTAATATTTAAGATTTGGTCCCATATTTGCAAAATCATACTGCTTTATGTAATACAAAAAAGGCACAGCTGTGGATTGTTCCTGTACATTTATTCTGGTACATCTCAGTAGTAATATTAATGAAGTTGATCCCTTCCTCAACACGAAAAGAGCTATTTGTCTGATTCTCCTACAGCATGTTGAAGGATGAGTTCTATGAGTAGAAATAAAAAGTGTAACTAAAATTATGTAATAGATAATTTTAAAACTTTGCCATCTTGCTAGCAGTAAAGACATCTCACTATATTTTAAAATATACTTTAGAGTTTCAATGAATATGTTGTGATAAAATTGATGACCTTCATTTTAATTTAGTATCTCAGAAGAAAGAGAGAAACATATTATCATTGTAATAACAGATGGTTTATTACTACTCATGAATTTTTTTATTAAGGGACTGGATCCAACTAAACATATCTGATAGAGATATAAAATACATCTGAATATATAATAAAAATTATAGTTCCCCAAGGCTTTCATTATAGACACGATTTAGTAACATTGTCAGAAGAAAACATGATTATGCTAAGACAACTTAAAATTAAAATTGAGTCATCAATGTTTTAAAAACAGCTATCATTTTATTCTATACTACTATCATTTGTTATTTTTTTAATACACTTACTGATGAGTAAAAACTTTCGGTAACAAGAATTAGTGACATATCAAGTGCAGAAAGTTTTTAAATTCTATCTTCTACCAAGTCAGATAGACATAATTGGCAGTAATGTAGCTTATTCCTAAATTCAGCAGGCCAATTAGAGCCACCAGATAACACTCACAACTGGAAGAGGATCATAGTGATCACACCTTTATAGCAAATTCACAGAATATTAAGATTCAGGGGACGATAAACTTGATGATGCAAACAAACCACCAAGATGAAAGTATGCAAATGTATGTTGAAAAGTATGATAGCGTGGAGAATGTAGACTGTAGGAAAAAGTAAAGTCAAATGAAAATATTTGAGAAATAAACAATAACTTCTCTGCTTCAACCTTACTGTTTAACATTCCCTTTCTGCTAAAACAGAAATCACCAGAGTTTTCAATAAAACATCCCTCTGCAGCCTTCAGACTTAGTTACCGCCTATTTCAAATTTCTCTGGATTTCACAGTCTTCACACAGTTACTTTCATAGAGTAAGTCTTCACATTCTGCATTAACAAAATCCTCTGACTACATGAAAATAAGATGTTCCCCTCACCTCCCACTAAAGAGTACACTTCGAGTTCACTCCACAATAATAAAATTTACATATGTATAACTTAATAAAAGTATTTTTTTAAAATATAAACTCAATGAGAACATCTTTGTTGTAGTAGGTAAACTACATGCAGTAGGCATGCAGTAGATAAAGACAGAATTTCATTAACAACGCTGTTTTGCATTTTTAACATCTCTAAAATATGGTTACATCTAGAGCGCCTGGGTGGCTCAGTTGTTAAGTGTCTTGCCTTCGGCTCAGGTCATGATCCCAGAGTCCTGGGATCGAGTCCTACATCGGGCTCCCTGCTCGGCGGAAAACCTGCTTCTCCCTCTCCCACTCCCCCTGCTTGTGTTTCCTCTCTCGCTGTCTCTGTCAAATAAATAGATAAACTCTTTAAAAAAAAAATGGCTGCATCTTAAAATTGACAGTGAATCATAACTTAATTGGCAGAGCTTTTCTTGATGATACATACATAATGGTGCTTCTACAAATGCTGTTTCAGGTTAGATTAAATAGGTTAATAACTGCTAAATTTAGTTGAACTGAATTAAACCAAGGTAAAGGTGTATGGTCTGTTTACTATATTAACTCTCAGGAAACTGAAATCATTTTTTTGATTCTTTTCTATGTCAGTATCTAAAAGCTTATATTATTATACAGAATTTGTAGGTTATATCTTAATTTATCTTTAAAAACAATCAAAGTACTATGCCTTTTGACTGAGGTGCTTAATTTTTTTCGTTTGAAGTAATTACTGATAGGAAAGGACTTACTACTGCCATTGTGCTGTTTTGTCTTTTAGCACTTTTGTCCTCCTTCTTCTTTCCCTGATTTTTTTTTTTTAAGTAGTGACATACTCTGATTCCTTTCTCATTTCCTTTTGAGTATCTTCTGTAGGTATTTTCTTTGTGGTTACCATGGAGTTTATATAAAACATCTTAAAGTTATAACAACCTATTTTAAGCTGATAAATACTATATATAAAAACTATACTTCTACTCCTCCTCACATACACTTTGCTATTAATGTTATAATTTGTATCTTTTTATACTGTGTATTCATTAACGTGTTCACCGGTAGTTATTTTTTATACTTTCATCTTTTTTAAGTTCAATACCAGAATTAAAAGTGATTTATACATTACCATTATAGTATTAAAATATTCTATATTTGTCTATATATTTACCTTTTCTAGCCTATTTCATATCTTCATATGCTGTCATGTTACCGTTTAGCATCCTTTTCTTAATTAGGCTTTGGAATCTAAAGACCACACTTATTTTATAGATGAATATGGCCAAAAAATATGCATCCATGTTGTTTGGCAATTATAAATCAGAACTGAGGGGCGCCTGGGTGGCTCAGTCACTTACACGGCTAACTCCGAATTTCAGCTCAGATCATGATCCCAGGGTCCTGGGAAAGAGCCTTGCATTGGGCTCTGTGCTCAGCGGGGAATGTGCTTAGGGATTTTCTCTCTCTCCCTCTCTCTCTACAACCCCTCCCCCAACTCACATGCAACCATGCGCATGCATGCGCTCTCTCTCTCTCTCTCTCTCAAATAAATAAATCTTTTTAAAAATAAATAAATCAGAACTGAGCTTCTAAGACTTAACAGTATTGAAGGAGCTATGTTTCTGAAACCAATAAAGCAGTTTCAGCCCATTAAAATCTTCACCAATTTTAATACCTACCGGTTCCTTTGCTTAGATATGGAGGTTTAAAGAACTTCACAACACCATAGACATTGACAATTGTACCACCCTTAAGTTGATTCAGGGGTGTATATATATAATGTGTTGCTGGAACCTAAGAAAGAGAAGACAGTGAATACATCAATACTAAGTATTTAATTTTAGAATAATTTTATGATTAAAGTTTTAAATTAAGAACCAATCTAACTGCATTTTTTTCCTTTTAAGTTTCTAAAAAGAGGATATAGCCTAAGAAAAAAGGAAATGCAGAGCTTATAAAGAATACTATACAAACCAGTTTTTCTTACAATTTTGATGATAAATTATGTAATTTGTACACAATTCTAAGAAATGCAATTTAAGAGATCTTGGTTCTGGATTTTAAGTAATATCCCTTCAAAATGTGTGGTATATATTTCTTTTTTTTTCTCCCTATATTACTATAAAGATTTTACTTAGGCCTAAAAAGCCAGGTTTTGATTGTAAATGGTATATACATTAAAAATGGTAAAAATAGAAAAGAAAAATTATCTTTGTACATTTATATTTATAAATTATTTAATTTATATTAAAAATTATAATTGTACATAAGTTTGGAAAGAAAGGGGAAAGTGATTTACAAGGACATGTCTGCATATTAGTCTAACAATCCTTAAAAGGGTTCACGCATCTGGCCCCATCACCCATCCATCCCACCCACAACTGGAAATAAGGTTACTACCTACCACACGAGTTAAAACTTTAAAAATCAAATCAAAATGAGTTAATTGGCTTTTTCAAGGAAGCTGATATTTTAGTTCAAATATAAGAAAGGCAGTGCTTAGAAATGTTATCAAACCTCGATATAAAAAAAGTTGTAGCTCATAAATGATGGAAGAAAAACAATGGTCAGCATATGGGACAAAAATGAAAGATATATGCTCAGCTGACAAATAACTAGATTCAAGACATTAAGGTTATCTCCCTAATGTACAGATGAATGTGGCAGGCCAGCACAGCTCAATGACACTAACCATTATGGTCATCCATGTAATGTACTTGTTACAACAAACAACTTACTGATTATAATTTGACCTTCCATGTAAATAGGCCAGAATATACGTGCACAGCATCTAAGCTATAGTCTAATAGATCAGAATACCTGGGCTCTCTGAAAAGACATTTTTTGCCAATTTCATAGGTTCTTTCCTTCACTTGTTCCTTACATACAGGTTTATAGATGTATCAAGTTTTTGAAGCTGAGCAATCTAAAACAATTTTGAGAAAAACTAATACCTGGGGCTAATTCATGCTTTTAAGAAAGCATATCAACCCTTTTACTGGTTACAGTTTCTTTAAATAACAAATTTGAATCATATTTCCATATAGCATTATTCAGAATTCAAAATCTATATCCCATAGTCACTGTTAACTAATACAAAGTCCCTGAACTCTGTCCATTACAAACAAAAGGTTTAAGAATATAGGCAGAAGGTAAACTTTATATTAAACTTCCTCATATATTACCTTTTTTCCAGTTTCACTCAGCTACATGTAGCTCAACTATAAAAATGGGAACCTTCCTATTGCTAGAACAAAATTTTATAAAATATTGAAAAAAAGATAAAAAAGACATGAAAAATGTATCACAAGTATAATAAACTTCTTAAAATTAAATAATTTTTTAAATCACAATTCGGCACATGATAATGTTTATAAATATAACTGATGAAGAAACAAAAGTACTTGCCTGAGGTTAAAAGTAGTACTAATCCCAGTATCTTCACACAATAAAACTTTTTTCCCTTTTAATTTTTTTGTATATGTAGCTTATACAAAGTATCAGCAGATATTCCAAATAAAAGAACAACCAGGTATTTATTACTTGGTAAATATATAACTCAAATTTAACATTATTAAAGGTAAAGATTTTGTTTTCCCATTGTATTACTATTTTAAAATTAGACTATAAGTGGATCTCATATATACATATGGGATGCATACATATATATGTATGTACATATATGGGTGTATCTTTATGTGTGTGTGGGGGGGGTATTTTAAATTAAATTGAATATCATCTTACCAAAGACATGGATTCTGCAGAAAAATCCCTTACAGATTTAACATAAACCTGAAAACAAAAAGAGGATTTACTTGTATACAAACAACCTCCAATTTGATTACAGACCTTTAACTGCACCAAAGCTACACACTTAACTGTGTAATATTCAAATTCACTAGAATGGCACAAAATTATGGCTTACAAATTAAGACTAACATGTGCAAAACTGTCTAAGTTTCAGTCTAATCTATTAATTTCACAATGTCACAGGACCACCCCTAGCCCATATAATGCCCTTGTGGATACTACAGAAAAACAGGCAGACAGTGGCCTGCAACCACAGGACTTGGCCCAACTTCACTTCTCTGACAGCCTTGACCAAACTGGTGGTCTCTGTGTGTGCACACGCACACACACACAGGGCTGTGGGAGGAGGGGTAAAGTGGGAGGCAGAGAATGATCTCTGTAAAAAAATAAAATAGAATGAAATCAGCTTTATCTAAAAAAGGGCACTTGATTAATTTAAAGTGAAATCAAGTAGACCATCAAAAGGGGCTGATGGTGTAAGAGCAAAGAATGAGATTAGGTCTAGAGTACCTATAAAGTTTAAAAATTCTATTAATAAGTAATTATTTTTAAGGGATTTTTCTTTTCTACCTGGAGTCATTCTAAACATAAAGCCAAGAAAAGAATTTTTGCTTTAAACTTAAAATATTTAATTAAAATAACCCAGTCAGACTAAATAGTTTATCTGTAGATTTATATATATAATGCTCCTATTCCATCCCCTTAGCTCATTAAAACCACAAATGATTGGGCTAGAAGTTACACACTTACATAAACAGTTGATCTGAAGTCCTCAAATGCTTTCAAAAATAAGCAATGTTTACCATCTCTGCTTGTAGATGAAGATGCTGACAAGACAGTAAATCCAGCTACTGCAATGGTATCCTACATAAGGAAAAAATGGTTTTAAATCATCAAAATATCTGTAATTGTGAATGTCATATAAATTCTTATATTATTATTTAAAAACAGGAGTAATTTCCATAAAATGGAAAACTGGTTAGCCTAAATTTAATGCTTCCTGAATATAAGATTGAGACTACTACTTCCTCAAAAAGGACATCAACAATGTAGCCCTGGACAAGTATAATGTCTCACTTCATTCACCAGGAAATCATTAACTAAATCACTCAAAAATTTTTATTTATTTAGTGGGAGTTCAAAAATCAATGTTTATCTCAATTTATATGAATAAGTTTGCAGAAATAAACAATGAGATAACAGATGATCCAACAGTATTAAGAATGAAATTTAAATGAAACTAAATGTCAGAGTTGAGAAACTACATTGAGAAAGACATGCCATTAGTATAAAAACTCCATATTGTCACAAAGCTAATACTTGTGCATATAAATCCAGGGTATGACACATAAATAAGAAATTTCCATTGACATACCAATAAGAAAAAAATATTTTCTATCTACTTATGTTTATAATAGTAATAAGAAGCCAGTCGCCATTTATTCTTGCTTCTCTCATTCCTTAGTTAAATCTCCTTTTCTTAATTTCCAAGTACTGGAACATACACATTCAGCAAATTTTGTCTTGCTGCACTATACATATATAATATGTAATAATATATATTATATATATGAAATTATCCTACTCTTCTATTTTTTTTTTATTTTTAAGATTTTATTTATTTATCAGAGAAAGAGAGACAGAGGCAGGCAGAGGGAGAAGCAGGCTCCTTGCTGAGCAAGGAGCCCAATGTGGGACTCGATCCCAGGACCCTGTGATCATGACCTGAGCCAAAGGCAGACGCTTAACCAACTGAGCCACCCAGGCGTCCCCCTACTCTTCTAATTTTAATACCAAAATCTTAAGATACATAAAAATTCCTGGGCTTTAGGCAGCTTCCTTCAATAATCTTAATTTCTACCAAAAAGAAGTCTCCCGCATTACTGACTTTTGCTTTGCACATGTGAGAAAGGGTCTGGTGTCAATCTGCATTTAGATCCATTAAACGAGGCTGTGAACTACCTTGTAGGCAGGGGTAACGTTTCATGTCTTTCTTTTTTTTTTTTAAGATTTTATTTATTTATTTGACAGAGAAAGAGTGTGCGTGCGCACACAGGAAGAAGAAGCACACTCCCCGCTGAGCAAGAAGCCCGACGCGGGACTCAACCCCAGGACCTTGGAATCATGACCTGAGCTGAAGGCAGACACTTAACCAACTGAGCCACCCAGGCATCCCTAGGCAGTTTTAAAGGGGAATAAAATAAATAGTAAGACTGCTTCTGGGATACATTACTCTTAAAACTGAAACATAAACAATGCTTTCAACTAACTAAAAATTCTGATTTAAATGAAAACTTGAGATTTTAGTCAGACTTAAAGTTGTCTAATCAATCTAACAGGGGAAGATAAACAGAAGTAGGGAAGTTTATCAGTTCTAAATTCTCTTAAAAGCACAAAAAAATAACCTATGTCATCTTATTTTCTATTTTACTTAAAAATGTCTTAAATATTATATGGAAAGAATACACAAAATGCCAAGTGTGCAGATGAACATTTTTCTATTTTTCTGTATAATCTAAACTTAAGTATTTATTTTATGATGGAGAAAACATTTTAAATAGAAAAAAAATCACTAAAAGGACATCAGCATTCATAAGAAAAAATTTTTCACAAGTCTAATTCTATTTTAATATTAGCAATACAATTCAGTAAAACATTATAATAAAACTTTTCCTCTAGCACAGATTTGACAACGTAGAAATAACCAAAAATATTTACAAAAACTAATGTTTAATTTATTATATTTCTAAACATGAACTTACATTTGAATATACCTATATAAATTGCATGAAAGGCCCTCAGTGATCCCATCCCAATCAAACTGGCCTGTTTTATTTTCATATATGTCTATTCAATACTATAAAAATCAGATTCTCTTATATTCGTAGTGCTTTTCCACATATGTTCTTTGCATATTCTGAGCCCCTACTAGTAAGAGCATTTTTCTCTTTTGCATATATCTGATCCTATCTATCTTTTAAAACCTGGACTGTAAATGCTTTTCTTATGAGGTCTATCTTAGATTGCCTCTCTCTGAGAAAAATATTTCTTCCTTCCTCTGAACTCTCCTATGCAGTATTTTAATATTTTTCACTTGTGTGTTATTTACAAGGGCTTCTTAATGTTTTTAATGCTCTTAGAAGTCTATAAGATCCCTGGGACTAAGAAGGTCTTATCTACCTTTATATCCCATTAAAGAGACAGTAAGGGGCTTCTGTTCATAGTTACAAAGTATATGTTGAATAAATTAATACTGGTAAAATTAAAGTACAAAGCTAAACAGAAGAGAGAAAAAAATGGCTCTTAGAATCCAGTTCCCATGAATTTACAAATTGTAATAGCTTTTAAATTAATTCAAATGCACAGAGGATAAGAAAGATAAACATATAATAGGAACTATTAGTTTATATAAACACTCATCAGACTGAGTTGAAAATGAGATTTAATATGCATTGTTCTAAGTTCTAAGCTTCTGAAAAGAGCACACTGAAGCCATTCAAACAAGAATAGGAATTACACAGTTGAGTGCTAAGAATGCATTTGATATACAGAGTAGGCATTTATCTCAATCTGCTGAAAGGAAGTATTAGGAAACCAGCCTGAGAGAATACCATATTACTAAAAGTGATAAGGCTTTATCAATATCTGTGCATGAATGTTCTAAAAATAAAACACATTTGGTATATCTGAAATCTTTGAACTAACTCAGGATACCAGATATCAGCAAGTGGGTCATTTTCCTTTTGTGTCATTTTTCTGTCACAGTGTCTTAAAAGGAGTGAAACTTTGTCATTAAACAATTTCCTTTTTGGTTTAGCCAACAGGAATATTTCTACCGCAAACAATTTCAGAGAAAAATCAACGAAAACAGCACAGGTCTTTTTAACATAAAGGAGTGTTCTTAAAAATCAATAATAAAAAGGAAAAAAAAAAGCAAACAACTTATTTACATATTAACAGATGTCATTTTTTACATACGAATATCATAATGTAGAACATAAATCAGTGGTGGAACAGGAAACAAATCAATATGTGACTAAAAAACGTAAACTACAAGACTAGCATATTAACCTGCTAATTTTTAATTGATATTGTATCCAAAATTCTCAAGTTGTTGCACTTTTAGTAAGCAGGAAAAGGACACAGAAAATATGAAAAAACTGATAATCCAAAAAGAAAAACACTTATCTGACTTTAACAGGCATTAAGTAATTTTTACTACACTGACCTTGCAAATCCTGTTATCATATTTTAAAACACCAATTAAGAGTGAAAGAGTGCAGGGAGAAGCCAGGAATCTGATAACACTGGTAACATAGTGACGGACAGAAAACGTTTCTCTAATATGAAAAATGTATTTTATGAGTATTAACATCAATTTGGTCATGGAATTTAATTGGAAGTAATACAGATAATATTAGCATAAAATCCAAAATCTTTAAATGGTTTACAAGTCACTATATGATCTGATGCCCACCACCTCACCAGCTACCTACTATGTGACACACCCTGGAATAGTGCCTTTTGTAATTTTTAGCATTCCAGGCTCCTCAATCAGGGCCTTTGTATATGTTGTTCTCTTTTACTAATCAATCCACTCTCCCAGTACCCATCTTCATTCTTTCTGCTACTTTTCTGATTCTACTACTCAATCTCAGTCATATCACATCTGGCTAAAGTAATCAATTATGTAATAGTTGTTTAATTCCCTCTGCTCCACTGAGCACTGTCTCATGATGGCAAGGTCCATTACCCTCTTATTCACGACATCCAGCATAGAAGACCAAAAACATTCAACAAGTATCTGGACAATTAAATGAATAAATATGTCAATATTATATATACATTTATATATACATATATACACACACATATATATATATAAAATACCTTCATTAAATCTTAACTAAACTATACAAGTACTACAAAGCTTATTTCAAAGAATCTTAGCATTTCAGAACTGAAAACAGGACTTTAGAGATCACATAATCAAACACCTTCATTTTTCAGATAAAAAAATAAGGGCGAGAGAGGGTAAATGAACAGTCTAAGGTCACATTCAGCTAATTAGTTGTAGATCAAGACAAGAATCAAGATCTCCTAATTTCTAAGACAGGCACTACTCTCTTTCAGAACTAAATCTCACAAGGAGGGAAAACAATGTATTGACAAATGTCTGTAATTCTGATGGTTTTGTGATAAAATATTTTTTAAACTTTCAAAATACTTTGAAAAAGTCTTTCCCCATATTTTATGTCCATTTATTAAATGTTAAATCTTACTTTAAAGGACCTTACTACTATAAACTCTAAAATAAATAGCGTAATTAGACCTCCCCAATGATCAGCATTCATGGATTTTAAACTCAGAAAGATTTTAAAGTAAATTGTGACCTCAGTCTTCTACCATTATATTTTAAAAAGGAAAAACTTTGACTTACCATTATTAACATTCTCTGTTATCTGACAAGCACTAATTAGCTAGTGTAGTTCTATTCTGTTTTAATGAATACCTATTTAAAATATATTTCAATTGCAGAAACACCTTTCATATGTCAGGTAAAATACGACCATCTCATACATTGTACATGTTTTGTAGATGCACTGCACATGTTTTTCTAATTCATTGTATTATAACCCTTTTATTTTGTTTCCAAATAATAATTTAATATAAGAACCTTAAAGGAAAAAGATAAAAATGTATTTAAAATATAAACAGATCCCTAATATTCAATACCATGTATTTATTTTTAAAACCCTTCTCTAAAGATGTCCAAGATATGCTGTAAAATAAAGCAATTTACAAAACATGAGTAAGTACTGTCATTTGATGAAAAATGTGCATATATAAGCTTATCTACATGC